CCCAGGCCCTGAGTGTAAGCCCTAGTCCACAACACACACACACACACACACACACACACACACACACATACACGCGAGAAAAAGAAGTAGCTACTACAATCCTCCAACACCCTCTTGGATGTGGAGTTCCCTGGGGGCCACAGGCCCACCTGATGGGCCACGTGCTCTGCCAGGGTACTGCCATCTTGAGCAGCCCCCCCGGGGGTCGCCCCCAGCCTAGCTCCTGAATATACTTCTCTTAGTCCTGGGTGGACCGTGCAGCTGTGCCTGTGAAGCTGGGACCGGTGCGGGACAAGCCCTGCCCTGCTCGGGCCTGGTCCCCTGGGCTGTGGGGTGAAGGACCTGCGTCCCTGACTCCATCTGTGTCCTCTCTGTCATCTGTAGGAGTTCCTCTGTGACCAGAAGTACAGCGATGAAGAGAACCTACCAGAAAAGCTCGCTGCCTTCAAAGGTGAGCCAGAGTTGGCTGTGCCTCCATTCCTGGAAGAGCCAGGCCCAGCCGCTCAGTGCCTGGTACATGGGACTCCACAGGGCTGGGCTGGGGCCCCAGTTCATCCAGAATGTTCCTCTTCTTGGCAGGCTGTGAGACAGGGGTCCCCTAGGAGGTATCTCTGCCCCTTCCCCCCCCCCCGCCTGTGGTCCCTGGCCTGGCCCTGTGCTGCCCCTCTCTCCCCCCAGCTGCCCGGCGGGGCTCAGGTTGGCTTCTGTCCGCCCCCATGGGGACCCTGATCATTCCTGGGGCCCCAGCACACAATCTGGCCTTTGTGAGAGGCTCTGCCTCTCCAGCCCCATGGAACAGCGTCCAGGAGCCCCTGTGGAGAATGGACGCTTGTGTCCCCGCCGAGGGGCAGGGGGGCAGAGTTTCTGCCTATTGAATCACAGCAGCACAGATGAAAAGAAAACAGGGCCCAGGAGCCCGCGCAGGGAGAGGGGCAAAAGAAAGGTCCTTCTGTTTGGGGCCTGGCGCTTGGTTTCCAGCCAGTGGCTGGAAACGAGAGGAGCCATGCACACAGGAGCGGGGCACACCCACCTTTCCTGCCCTACAGATGCACTTGGGGTGCGGGCTGGGCACGGGAACGCTCCAGGGTCCCCTCCGGCATATCCCTTCCAAGCATCTGCAGTGTGGGCATCCTCTGGGCTCCAAGGTAAACTCCCTGGTCAGTGTTCCTCCCATCACCTGCAGCCTACCAGCCTTGGGCAGGATATGAAGTCTTGGCAGTAATGTTAGGAATGGCTGGCTGCCGGGCAGAAGTCCTACTCCAGTGATGGCCATCATAGCCAGTTCCCCAAACCACCCCTCCATAAGGCTCAGTTGTTAATTTACCAAAGCATAAACTCAGGTCTGGAGAGATCGTTGACAGCAGGTCGCAGCCCACCTATGGCAGAGTGGGGACTTGAACTCTTGTCAGGCTGCAAAACCCCTGCTTTCAATCAGGATGCTATGGTACTTCTAAGATCACCAAAGAAGCTGGGCACAGGCAGTTCATGCCTGTAATCCTAGCTATTGAGGAGGCTGAGATCTGAGGAGTGGTTTGAAACCTGCCTGGGCAGGAAAGTGGTGAGACTTATCTCTAATTAACCACCAAAACACTGGAAGAGTGGTGCTGTGGCTCAAGTGGTAGAGCACTAGCCTTGAGCATAAAAGCTCAGAGACAGTGTGCAGGCCCTGAATTTAAGTCCCAGGTCCAGCACACACACACACACACACACACACTTTTTTTTTTTTGGAGGGGGAGTCCAGTCGTGGGCTAGCTCTTCAGTTCTAGGCTAGCACTCTACCACTTGAGCTACAGTGCCACTTCCAGCTTTTTTTTTTCTGCTTATGTGGTGCTGAGGACTCGAACCCAGGGCCTCATGCGTGCAAGGCAAGCACTCTACCACTGAGCCACCTTCCCAGCCCACACTATTTTTTTTTAAAAGCCTGGCACTGGTGGTTTATGAGTGTAATCCCAGCTACTCAGGAAGCTGATATCTGAGAATTGAAGTTCAAAGCTAGCCTGGGCAGGAAAAGTCCATGAGACTCTTATCTCCAGTTAACTACCAAAAAGCCAAAAGTGGAACTGTGGCTCAAGTGATTGAGTGCCAGTCTTGGACAGAAAAGCCAAGCAACAGCACAAGTCCCAGTACCAGTACAAAGAAAAGGAGGAGGAGGAAGAGAACTAGAAAAACAACATCCTATCCTCAGGTGGCCCAGCTGCCTACAGAGAGCTGTGCAGGAGACCGCATGAAGTCATTACGGGGTCTCTGCAGAGGAGGGGCAGGGCCTTGGTCTGGTGCACCCTGCTTGTCTTCATCAGAATGTAGGGTCTGCTGTTGGCAGGTGGCTCACACCTATAATCCAGGCTAGTCAGGAGGGTGAGATCTAAGGATCACAGTTCAAAGCCAGCCTGGGCAAGAAAGTCCATGAAACTCATTGCCAATTAACTAACAAAAAGCCAGAAGTGGAGCTGTTGCTCAAGTGGGGTAGAGCACTAGCCTTGAGTAGAAAAGTCAAATGAGAATGCAAGCCCCTGAGTACCCAGTACCAGCACATTAAATTTAAAAAAGAAAAAAGGACAGGTGCTAGTGGCCCAGGCCTGTCATCCTAGCTACTCAGGAGGCTGAGATCTGAGGATCATGGTTCAAAGCCAGCCTGGGCATGAAAGTCTGAGACTTATCTCCAATGAACCACCAGAAAACCAGAAATGGTGCTATGTCTCAAAGTGGTAGAATGCTCTTCTTGAGCAAAAGAGTTCAGGGACAGCGCCCAGACCCTGAGTTCAAGCCCCAAGACCAACTTAAAAAAAAAAAAGGAAAGAGAGAGAAAGATAGATCCCATTTGGGATCTAGGACTAGAACCACAGGAAGTTGTGTTGGAAAGGAAGAGACTGAAATAAATATCTCTCTTCTGTCTGCCAATGTGCACTCACCCTGCGGCCTTGGGGCACAATGCCAGCACAGGACTATGTGTTTAGAGGTTGGGGTGAGGTCCAGGTCAATGGGGTGTGGGTACTTTAGAGAGAGGATAGCCGTCGTGTGTGTGTGTGTGTGTGTGTGTGTGTATCCATTCAGAAGCAGTGAGGTGTGCTGAAGGAGGTAGCTTAGATCAACTAAAGGGCCTTCCAGGAGGAGGGCAGCCAGCTGGGCCAGGTGGGGAGTGGGTGGGTAGCAGCCTTGAGGCCAGCGGGCTGGGAGAGAGGGAATGGGTCACTCGCAGGCCACTGGAAAGATGTGGCCTTTGCGTGCTTGCCAAACGGCTCACCAGTCTATGGTGCAGAGTAGACCCAGAAGAGTCGCTGGCCGGCCACAACTGTTCACCCCTGTGCTTGAACTGCCCACACCACAAGATTTGCTGACATAGCACTGGACTTGGGACCAGAGCCCACAGTCTGTCCAGTCAATTGATAGCATGTTCAGGGATGCCCTAAGCACCCGGGAGGCAGCAGCTGTCCTCCCGAGAGGGTCCTGGTGGTACCTGGCCGCCTTTCCTTTGTGGCTTCTGAGGGCCAGTGTCGTAGGCAGGAAGGACTCTCTCCAGAGCCATCAGCTGAGAGAGGACAGGACTTGAACCGAAACGGGTGGTGAGCTGGGAGGCTTGAGGGCTTCAGAGTCCCACTCAGCCCCTTCAGGGGGTCACTGGGCCTTCAGGGAGAGGCTAATACCAGCTTTTTGCTTTCCAGAGAAGTACATGGAGTTTGATCTGAACAACGAAGGCGAGATTGGTGAGTGGGGTGGCAGGGGGAGGGAGGAGGGAGGACGGGTAGAGAGGCGGGGCACTGACTTCCCCTGGGACCCTCCAGTGGGGCTGACAGCCAGGCCAGCAGAGCCCACCTAGGGCCCTCTGCTTCCCATCCAGGCTCCACTGCCTGATTCTTCCCCTCCTCACACAGCCTCCCACCTCCGGGCCATGGGACTCGGGCGGAGGGGGCCATCTGACCTGTCCAGGGGTGGTGACTTCCTGGCCCAGGAGGATGGCACTTCCGCTGTCCCAGGCCAGGTGACAGATGCCTGGTCCCAGGGTGCTGGGGGAGACCACACCACAGCTCACTCTTCACCAGCAGAGCGAGGACAGCCGGGTGGCTTAATCATATCTGGTTGGCAGATGAGGAAACCAAGACCCAGTGGTAAAAGGAGTGGCAGGAGCCTGGGGGCAGTGATTGAGGGGGACAGTGGATGAGGGGTGGCCAGGCCTTTGGCTTCCAGACAGAATGTCCCGCCTCCCTCTCACCACCCATGACTTCCCATTGTAGGAATGGGCTCTGTGATCTATTCAGCCGCTGTTCTGATGGCTTCCAGTTTTAGCCGTCATTGATAGTCCCATGAAATGCTCCTTTGTACCCAGTTCTTGGTCGGCTCCCCGGTTATTTCTTTAGAGTAAATCTCACCAAGCAGACAGACATTGTGGGTTAGAAGACTCTGAAGCGTCTTGCCAAACGCCCTCCGGAAAGTCTTGCTTAGTTGCCAGTCTGGTGAGCAACTTGTGTCCGTCCTGCGGCTCTTGGCCACAGGAGCTCCTCTCAGAAGAGGACCTGGCAAGCCTGCCACCTTTGGGCCTGGCTCCAGTCCTGTCTGCCCTGCCTCTGCAGCAAGTACTGGCATCACCCTGCTCTAAAATCACCCCCTGTCCAGCCAGCCTCCCACCTCCTTTACTGCCCCATTCTTTCGGGGAAACAAAGGCCCAGGAAATTGCCCAGATCTTGGCTGGAGCTGAGAGGGTACAGGCAGACTCCTGGGGAGTAATGATTGTGTGTGTGTATGTGTGTGTGTGTGTTCGTTCGTGTTCCTCTCATTTTTCTTGAGTTTTGTTCTTTGTTTCGTTTTTCCTGCTCTAAGGGATATTTTGGGTGCCCTTTTCTGTTCTAGCCTGGGTGGAGTTCCAGAGCGGCAGGATGCCAAAGGACAGGTGGCAGTCCTTGATGCCAAGAGATTGACTTTCATATTTGGAAGGGTTGGAGCCATTTACTGCCCCTTCCCTCTTCCCTGCAGGGAAATAACCTCCTGGGGATCAGGAGAGTAGGGACTCAGCTCCCCTAGGTGCAGAGAACACTGAGGACTTGGGGTAGGGCTAGGAGTAGCAGGGCTTCATTCCAACCCAACTCTGAACAGATTCAGACATCCAGGGCCCTACCGACCAGCCTATAAGACGGGGGG